TAACCAACGTAATGTCCCCGACGTTTTGTAATTTAACCAACGTAATGTCCCCGACGTTTTGTAATTTAACCAACGAAATGTCCCAGACGTTTTGTAATATAACTAACATAATGTCCCCTACGTTTTGTAATTTAACCAACATGGAGAAAGAACTTGTCCCTCTTAAAATTATGTTTTTCACTTGGATGTTTCAAAAGGCTGGATAAAACAGAATACCTCTTACTACTAAGCTACATTGTTTTTTTTAACTTTCAAATAAAGCATTCGTGATTATGTCATTCTGCTACGGTAACAATATGCCTTGTCGGTTTCGTAGGTCTATATGGTACTTTTGGAGAAACTAAATTTGCTGAACGACCCCTTGTTGGCTGTTGTGTAATGACTGTAATTACACGTTTTTAAACAAGCTTTTTACTCGAGTTAAGAGTAATTACAAGACATCGTGACCTCATGTAACGGTTTATTAGCTGGTGTGGAGTTTAATCTATCTTGAAATGATCGCAATAAAACAGTCTGTGTGTTACATTTGTTGATTAGAACTTTGTGTAGGTTTACCCACTTTCAAGCCTATTACATGTCATGTAGTTAGTTCACTATAGAGAGTTAAACTGTGTTAATCAAATCTGATCTGGTTTTGCCGGCATAGTAAGATAGAAGTAATTTATTGGCTCCGACATTACATTAGATGGTCTTTCTGTTCACGATTCTCCAGAACTTATCTCCTCCAAGTTGTTATGAGATTCAATGTAAGCAGCGTGTAAAACGTTTAATAGAACCTGTAAAGACACGTGTGAAACTGTAAACCTTATGTTGGAACTAACACCATTAAATCTTTCACTCCACATTGATAGTTACTATACCGTTCACATTATACTGACAGCCACTATAACATCCACTTTACACTGACAGTCATTACATCTTTCATTTCACAATGGCATCCGTTATACCTTTCACTCCACACTGACACTGACAGTCGCTGTACTATTCACTTCATTCTGATAACAATTATACCTGTCACTTCACACTGACAACAACTATACAATGAACTTAACGCTGACAGTCATTACACCTTTCACTTCACACTGACAGCCACTATTCTATCCACAGTGATATACGCTATACTGCTACTCATCTCACACTGACAGCCAATGTACACTCCACTGTGACATCCATTATACTGCTAACTTCGTACTGACTACACTGACAGTCACTGTACTCCCCACAGTGACAACCGCTATATTGCTAAATTCACACTGACAGTCACTGTACTTTCCACAGTTACATCCGCTATACTGCTCAATTCACACTGATAATCACTATACTCATCACAATGACCTCAACTATACTGCTCAATTCACATTTACAGTCACTATACTCCCCCCAGTAACATTAGCTATATCATTCACTTCACACTGACAGTCACTATACTCTCCCCAGTGACATTAGCTATATCGTTCACTTCCCATTGATAGCCACTGTATTCTCATACATGACAATCATTATATTGTACAGAGGTTGAGTACGTTATATTAAAACTATTTTGCAGTACCACCACGGCGTTGCAGTCCATGTCTTCACGACCAGTTGCTCTGTTGTGTAATTTCCATTGCAAAAGGCTGTCATGTTCCAAGCACACCATTCTTCCCTGTTGTTACATACCCTTCCTAAAAGCGATGGATTTTCGGTGGCAGCACACTATTTACAAAACCCCGATCAATGTAAAAATGTAGTTATGATACATCCCACTCCATCGTGATTATATCGTCTGTGGTTGACTCGTAACTTGTAGATATGGATATTCAAAATAGTTTTGATACAATGTACTCGACCCTCTGTGTAAGTTTCATGTCTAGAACGTTTAGTTCAATGGTAAAGTAATTATACCCATTAGAAATTCTTTGAGAGTTGACTTCAACTTGAAGTATGTACATTGCCTTGAGCTAAGGCTCATTCCTGTAAACTTTGGCAAAAAATACCTCTGACAGGTGAAGGAGGAGAAGATTACACTCAAAGGGGGGAACGAATTCTTCGAGAAGATAACACAACAGTGTGAGACTGAATGATTGTTTCGGATATACGAGCAAAGCTACACAAGGGCTATCTGCATCGGTCGTCTCAGATTTTTGAACTGATAGATGAGTGGGAAGGCAGTCAGTCAAGAACAGCTAACACCAACTATTGCATTACTCTAATCGGATAGCAGGATTTGACTGTCAATCCTTTAACGCATCCACAGCTCCAGAGTGCGAGGTCGATATTTTTGCGTCAACAGAACATGAACTATGGATTTTTGGACCCACAGTCTGATACGTTAACCACTAGGCCACGCCCGGCTCCAACAGTGTGAAAACCGTAACTTTGTTTAATGTGAAGCGAGCTTTTTAAATATTGTAAGTTGTGAAAGCTTGTTTAGATGTTTTATCTCGAGAAACAAGATGTTTCAAACGCCATAACACTAAACAAAAACAAAATGCAAAAAAAAAAGTATAGTGATTTGGATCTTTGACCTGTGTCAATGGAAAAAGCACGTGTGGTATGATGTCCCAATCAAAGGAAACTCAGATACCTGTCTTGCAAAAAAGGTCAAGCTGTTACAAACCACAACACGAGAGCTATACGACCTTTGAAATAACTTGACCTATAAAGCATACAGACATCCTAAGCTTTCTTTATTAAGTAAATGTGCTGGAGAGTAGAAATTGTATTGTATGGCAAAATAGAAATAATAGTGATATCATATTAAGTAATAAATGTTGAAAAAGGTAAAATGTTGCTTTTTTTTCATGTAGAAAATTGTATATAGAATTTAAGCAATAAAGTAAGAAGTGATCAACTTCATTGTACACACGATTTTTTTTAACAACAACTGTAATAAAATCTTGCTAAACAGGTCACTCGTATACAGAATTTCGTTAGAAGAGCTTAGTTTTATAGATAAAGAAAAAAATGCATAATCGGCTGAAGTTTCTAATTTTGATTTTTTTATTATCAAAATGAAAATAGGATCGTGCTAATCATGTGATATACGTGAGATAATTATGCAATTGTGAAACTTGAGGGGAGGCAAAACTATCGTCTCATGTCGGTTAGACAAGAGGTCTGCCGAATCATTGTTTATAACCCCTTTCTATATTTTAACACTCTCTCTTTCCACGTGTCTTGCGACGACATTTCTACTGACTTGTATCACGAGTAATATTTATGATGTTCAGGCACGCAATACAAAAATTCATTATTGTAAGTCTGTAACTCAATGTTGTGTACAGTTTCGCTCATTTGATAAAGGTAAACATTTGAACCTCTGTATAAAGCATTGTTACAACATTTAAGCTCATTATGATTCTCTCAAAGGTTTTATTTCTTCACTGACTTGAAGGTTCCAGTTTTTTGAATTTGTGAAACTGTTAGTAGTGAGTTTTTACACTAATTTAAAAGTTTTAGCTGGAACAGTAGCAGAATGCTTGTTATGACCAGTTATTTTTAGTAGTGAGTTTTTACACCAATTTACAGTTTTAGCTGGAACAGTAGCAGAATGCTTGTTATCACCAGTTATTTTTAGTAGTGAGTTTTTACACCAATTTACAGTTTTAGCTGGAACAGTAGCAGAATGCTTGTTATCACCAGTTATTTTTAGTAGTGAGTTTTTACACCAATTTACAATTTTAGCTGGACCAGTAGCAGAGTGCTTGTTATGACCAGTTATTTTTAGTAGTGAGTTTTTACACTGAAGAGTACTATTTCCTAGCTTCCATATTTTTACTTTCATGATAAAGTTTATGCACTTCGCTCTAAGCTAGATGATTCCACACTATGTCTGTACTTTAGGCATATTATACCAACACTCACTACATTTATAAGGTTTCACGGCACCTTCCTCGCAGCCCCCTTGCACCCCCGTCATTAAAATCGTAATGAGCAGACAGTATTCGAACTATTATATCTGGATAAATGCACTTTGGCTTTTATGGCGTTCCCTATTTCGAGAAATCAAGCGTGACGTGACACACGTTGGTTTTTATATAGGTTAGATGATAATACACTAAGTCATAAGCTGGAAATAATATTTATTAACAATACTTTGAGCAGCATGTTTCTTACGATATGAACTTACTCAACGACACTTTTGATAGAAGTCCAAAGTCTACAAATAATCAGGTCTGAGTAGTCTTGTCGAATTTTCGAGGACGTGGTAAAACTACGATGTTCCACCCAAGTGACGAGTTCTGGTAGTTACCGTAAGGACTCTTGGGCAATGCCTAGTTGGAGACAAATAAAAAAATCTGAAATGTTATTTGTTCACACTTCTCATTTGATATTTGAAATGGACAAGTTACCAATTTGAAAAAAAAAAACAACCTTTAATCCAGATTAACTGTGTCTGAAACGCTAGGCCTATTAGTTTCCAGTGCTTTGGTAGCTTTCGGCATTTAAACTGTAACATAGACATTACTTTGATTTACATTGAGGTCTGAAGTATCATTTTAAATTCTAGGTTTTAGTTTTCTCAATGGTTATAGAGCATTGCCAAATAAAACTAGAAGATATTGAAATATCCCAAAAGACGTGGAGTTTTTGAAAATATAGAATCTGAAGTATGAAAACATAATCAATGTTTTTTAATCTGATCTCGACTAAATTACTTCCATTCCATAAGAGGGGTAAAAACAAAGCACTGAAAGAAGAAGGCTTAGGAATGAAGATCTTATGTTTTCCTCAGTTCTGACGCCGACATGAGGCGATACTGTTAATTAGATTGGTGATTTCTGCCACAGACCTGAAGGTAGCATGCTATGGTTTACACTATACATTCCACAATATATATTCGGTTCACGCAAAGAGTTGCGCGTGCTCTCTAATCGTCTTCACGTGCTTTCATGTAAGTTAGTAGTTTGACCAAACTCACGTGCCACAACAGATGATGTAGTCTGTAGTCTATTTTTGGAGTTCCTCTATCCTCCCCATATCCAGACGGTGCTTCCGATTCTTACGCCCTATAAACGAGGCGCTTCTAGGTACCGCACGTGAACTTACTTGTCCACAGATCCTGTCGTCCAGAGTGGACGTGTTTAGCCGATCCTAACGAGGAGTATTGATGGGTGGATCTTTTGTTATTCATGCCGCTCCGGAATACGTAAGTATCTTCGTTTTGGAAGGAAGTGATACTCCATCTCATCTTCAATTAAAAGTTGATTGTTTTCATATTACTTCTTTTTTCATTTTTTTATTACCAGATTCTGGAGTGTTCATCATGTAGATTGAGTATCTGTTAACTTGTGGTATAGTGAGGTGATACTGACGCGAATTACTTTAACATATATTAACGTGTAATAAATTGGTGTGGCTCTGACTCTGTGTCCCTTTGAGTTACGTTAACATGTGATATATATTGCTATCGATCACTTTGACATAGGTTAACTCGCAATATTTTGAGGTGTTGTCGTTTCTGGATCATTTTAACATATTTTAACGTGTGGCAAGTCGGTGTGGTGTTGACTCTGGGTCATCTTAATTATAGTATTTACTGGCGATTACAGTGGAATATTTTCAGATTTAGTTCGTTATAAACTTGGATAAAAGGGGCTAGATATGGGCTTAGATAAATAGTGGTGGATGTAGACTTGAATAAATACCATTGGATGTAGAAATTAACAAACAGTGCTGGTTATAGACTAGTATAAACATCACTGGTTATAGACTAGGATCAACAATACGGGAAATAGTCTTTGATAAACAGTGTTGGATAGAGACTTTGATAAACAGCTTTGAATACAGACTTGGAATACCAGTTCTGAAAATTGAGTAAGATCAACAATACTGGATAGAGAACTGGTAAAGTGTACTAGATATAGATTTCGATAAACAGTGGTTGATACAGACTTGGAGAAACAGTTATAGGTATGGAATTGGATAAACAGTTAAAGGTATGGGTTCAGATTAACAGTTCTGGATATATACATGGCTGAACAGATATAGGTACGGGCTTAGATTAACAATTTTGGATACAGACTTGGATAAACATTGCTGGATAGAGACTTGGATAAACAGTGCTGGATAGAGAATTGTATAAACATTGCTGGATAAAGACTTGGATAAACAGTGTTGGATATAGACTTGGATAAAAAGTGCTGGATAGAGACTTGGTTAAACAGTTACTTGGATAAACAGTTATAGTTACGGGCTTAGATTAACAATTTTGGATACAGACTTGGATAAACAGTTCTGGATATAGACAGTTATAGGTACGGGCTTAGATGAGCAATTTTGGATATAGACTTGGATAAACATTGCTGGATAGAGACTTGGATAAACAGTGCTGGATAGAGACTTAGATAAACAGTGCTGGATAAAGACTTGGATAAACAGTGTTGGATATAGACTTGGATAAAAGTGCTGGATAGAGACTTGATTAAACAGTTACGGATATAGACTTGGATAAACAGTTATAGTTACGGGCTTAGATTAATAATTTTGGATACAGACTTGAATAAACAGTTCTGGATATAGACAGTTATAGGTACGGGCTTAGATGAGCAATTTTGGATAGAGACTTGGATAAACAGTGCTGGATAGAGAATTGTATAAACAGTTCTGGATATAGACAGTTATAGGTACGGGCTTAGATGAGCAATTTTGGATAGAGACTTGGATAAACAGTGCTGGATAGAGAATTGTATAAACATTGCTGGATCTAGATTCTGATAAACAATTCGTGGTAGAGACTTGAATAAACAGTGCTGGGTAGAGACTTGGATAAACAGTGCTGGATATAGACAGTTATAGGTACGGGCTTAGATGAGCAATTTTGGATATAGACTTGGATAAACATTGCTGGATAGAGACTTGGATAAACAGTGCTGGATAGAGAATTGTATAAACATTGCTGGATCTGGATTCTGATAAACAGTTCGTGGTAGAGACTTGGATGAACAGTTCTGGATATAGACTTGAATAAACAGTGCTGGGTAGAGACTGGGATAAACAGTGCTAGATACAGACTTGAATGGACAGTTCTGGATATAGACTTGGATAAACAGTGATATATAGAGACTTAGGTGGACAGTTCTGGATATAGACTTGGATAAACAGTTCTGGATGAAGACTTAGATAAACAGTGACATATAGAGACTTAGATGGACAGTTCTGGATAAAGACTTAGATGAACAGTGATATATAGAGACTTAGATGGACAGTTCTGGATAAAGACTTAGATAAACAGTGATATATAGAGACTTAGATGGACAGTTCTGGATACAGACTTGAATGGACAGTTCTGGATAAAGACTTAGATAAACAGTGATATATAGAGACTTAGATGGACAGTTCTGGATAAAGACTTAGGTAAACAGTGATATATAGAGACTTAGATGGACAGTTCTGGATAAAGACTTAGATAAAGAGTTCTGGAGATTAACGGGATTAAAGTGCTGGAAAGATTTGTCATGTTTCAGGTCAGTTAAAATTGTTGATTAGAATGTATATTTCTAAAAAATAATGTTAACGTACATTAAAGGAACATTATTGACATTTATGTATTCAAAATTTGACATAATGGCAAAACTGCAATCTAGATGAACATTATACTGATTTTTGTATTACTTTCGGGTTTAACGATTTTATAAGTAGTTGTATTGTGGCAACTGTAAACGACAAAACTAACACTTTTATTTCAAGACATCTCGTTGTTGTAACCAAGAGGGTAACAAACCTATACCATGACCAGCTAAAACGACTTAGAGTTGTTTTAGATGTCTTAGAGTTTAAGTTCGGTAAACGACAAAAGTTAAACATTGAAGACTTAATGTTTTTACCACGAAT